TTTAACAATGCAATCAGTGTAACTGGCCAAATTAACTTATATAGAACATTACACTCAACAACCGTAGTGTTCTGTGATAAACATAAACATTTATTCTACATAATAGAAAACATAAAGAACTGCTTGAGCCTAGGGGGCAGAGGTTATATTCTACATTTAAAATATATATTCTAGAACATTACTGTATACAGTAGTGTTCTGTAACAAATATATATAGTATAATACATATTTATATGTATGCTTTTATAATATATGGTCTTCTATATATTTGTAGTACTGTTCTGTAATAAATAAATGAAGTAAGGCGCATTGTTTTTACCCAAGACAAATTGTTTACAAAAATCCATATGACATAGTCACAGGAGTTTGGGAGGAGGCAGGCAGGGACACACAGGTGCAGCTCATGAATCTCAGGGCAGTGAAACTCTTCTGTGTGGTGGACACCACATGACACTTCTCTAAGAACCCACAGAATGTTCAAGCAGAGGGAACCCTACTGTGAAAGATGCCTTTAGTTAGTAATAATGTATCAGTGTCAGTTCAAAGATTGTAACAAATGTAACAAACTAGCCCAAAGAGTAGAAGATGACTTTAGTAAGTAAGAATGTATCAGTGCTGGTTGGAAGATGGTAACAAATGTAATAAACTAACCCAAAGAGTGAACCCTGCTGTGAAGATGGCTTAGTAAGTAAGAATGTATCAGTGCTGTAACAAATGTAACAAGCTGACACAAGAGGTTAATAACAGGGAAAGTGGGAAGCAGTGAGGAGGGAAACTCTGTACTTTCTGATCAATTTTTCTGCAAACCTAAAACTGCTCTGAAAAAAAATTAAGTGTACTCATATTTTTAATTGACCACATGCTGGGCCTAAAGCACGTCTTAACAAAGAAAGGAAGCAATCATATAAATGTCTTTAGGGAATACAATTTTCAGATTAATCTTGATATACTTGGCGGAATAGCTCTGCAGGGGCTGATCCTTCTTCCTGCAGTCCCTCAGCTTCTGTTACAGGTCAGGTATATGTAAGGAATTTATCACACCTCTCACAGCATCAGTTAGACAAATACCCAGAAAAATAAGAGCCTAAAGGATTTGAACACTGCCCCTTCATTGGGTTGGGGTGGTTATTGTCTTAAGACAGACAGACAGATACACACACACACGCACACACGAGAGAGAGAGAGAGAGAGAGAGAGAGAGAGAGAGAGAGAACATTTTCAAAGATTAACCACATGTTGGAACAGAAAGAAAACTTCAATTACATCCAATAAAATGACCATCATGAGAGCCACGCTCACTGACCACATGGAGAAAAACCAGAAAACAGCAAGAAAGACCAGGCATGGTAGCTCACACCTGTAATACCAGCACTTTGGGAGGCTGAGGCGGGCAGATCAGAAGGTTAGGAGCTCGAGACCAGCCTGGCCAACATGGTGAAACCCCATCTCTACTGAAAATACAAAAATTAGCCAGGCGTGGTGGGCACCTGTAATCCCAGCTACTTGGAAGACCGAGGTATGAAAATTGCTTGAACCGGGAGGTGGAGGTTGCAGTGAGCCAAGATCAAGCCACTCCAGCCTGGGCAACAGGGCAAGACCCTGTCTCAAAAGAAAAAAAAAAAAAAAAAAAGAAACAGAAGAAAACAAAAGGAAACGTCTTCCTGTCATCACCCTGGAATGGCCTGTCCTGGTGCTGGTGGTGGGAGACACCCCTGCAGGGGAGAAGCGTGGCTGCCCCCCGGCCGCCCAGGGGGCTCTCTCCCACGCTCCCACCCAGCGTGGCTGCCCGCACTGTGCCCCTCTAGACCTCCCTTCCCCAACTGGTGACAACCCAACCCCAGCAGCACGGACAGCAGTGACACCCACAGGGTGCTCACTGGACCCACAGCACCTACTGGTCATTGGGCATCCCCAGGGCCAGGGTGCGGTGGGAGCCAGGGGCCGCTGCAGGGGCGAGGGAACCACTGGTTCAGAACGGCCAGGGACAAGTGAGTCCGCAGTGACAGGCCCACTCCACGGGCCGTCACTAGACCACATGTGTTATGAAGACAGACCCACTTTACATGTGGAAGCAGAAGCCAGGAAGGTGGAGCAGCTGGCCTGGCAAAGGCCTCTGCCTCGCGGAGCCGCTTGGCACCCTCCCCAGCCTCTGCCCACAGGAGGTTCGAAAAGCCGGCCAAGGTGCGGGGCCTGCCCCATCCGCTGGGACCCCACCCGCTGGGACCCCACCCAGCACCCAGCCTTCAACCTCCAGGCTCACCTGCTCCTGTGCACACGGGCAGCATCCAGCCCCAGCTCGGAGGGGCACTCAATGGCGGAGACGGCGGTTTCCTCCAGCTCCCCCACCATGTGGGCGCCTGTGAAACGGCCCCCAGCGCCCACCCGAGCAGAACCCCGGAGGGCCTGGGAACGCGCATTTTCTCCCCTCTGAGAAACACCGGCTCTGAGCGCGCCTCTGGGCGCAGTCTCCCAGACAGCCAGCAGGTGGCAGCGTCGGACCGAAAACGCCGCCTCCGCGGTGGCCGGACTGGAGCCCGGAACCTGCGGCTGGTCCTGCAGGGGCCTCCCCTGGCTGCTGTTTCCTGCGCCTCGCCCCTGCCCCTGCCCCCTGCCCCCTGCCCCC